ATTGCCTTGATTCTGCAAAACCCTTTGTAGCATCTGATTCCAATTAGACCAAGTTGCCCAATGATTAAAATGGTTGGTAGTAGTCTGTATGTAAATAAGAGAATTAGAAGTTAATTCTGTGTTACAATCTGCCTTTCAGTTCCTCTAAAGCTTTCTTCTATTTCCATACCTTATTCTCAGGGTACAGTCCTCCATAGGCTGGTTTAACCAGGAGCGTGCAGTTTATAAAAGTGATAAAGATTTTTTTTCCTGTTGATGGTGTTTTTGAACATTTTTTAATATGAGAGGTGGCAGAGGATTCTACTAGGCAGAAGAGCTGGATACAAATCATTGCATCATCATCTCCATCAGTTTGAAGTTTCCTGAGCTGCTTAAGTTTACTAATGTGAAAAAATAACCCAACAACCTAGGATGGGAGGAGTTCCATCCTGATGGCTCCCTTCCACCTTGGCCACCTCACAATGAAATTAGCACAGAATACTGCTTCTGTCCCAAGAATTTCACCAACATTCTCTTCATCTTGGAAAGACATCTTGAAAGAAAATCCTCTTTCATCAAACTGAATGAGAAACAATAGGAAAAAATGTGGAGAACTGTTATGAACCATGAAGGTACGTATGTCTGTGTGTATTTCAGTGGTGTGTCAGAAAGAACAAAAAATCTAAGAAAGCAAGCCAAAAACAATGAATTAAAACAGTTCAGAGCAATAGTACATGAATTCAGGCCAAGCCAGAGAAATCACTAACACATGTCTTGCCAGATTTGGAAATGTGCCTTTCAAGAACATTTAATGTTCACAATGAATAAAAGTGATGGAGAATCTCACAAAATCACTGGTTTTCCCCTCACCCTTTTCACCCACCATTCAATTTAATGATTTGTTGTGAACTTTCTGTAATTTGAGCAATTTGAGATTAAAACTCTGTAAGGGTGAAAAGGCATTCACAGTGTTATGAGAAACTATTATGTAGTTCGGTAAAATGAAAGCTTAGCTAGAATCTTACCACTACACTTCCCCATGCTATACACGTGTTCTTTCAGTTTTTTCTACTTGTCCGATCTGGTCAGGTGGGGTGGGCATGCTTTGGGTCCCATTGGCTAAGGAATGCCAGTTGGCAGAGCCTAGAAGATGCACCTTTTCTGCTGTAGTGCCCGCTGTATGAATCATTCTCCCTTTGGAGATCAGGATGGCCTGACCCTGCTGGCTTTTTGTAAGTCCTTAAGGTCCTGGCTCTTTGCTTGGGCTGGGGTCCCAAGTGTGTGCTGAGACCCATTCCTTGGTTATTTTAGCAATTGTGGTACATGGTTTGTTCTCAGCTGCTATGCATTTTCATTTTTGAATTATTGTAATTGCTTTTAAATTTTGTTCGCCACCCAGAGTCACTTGTTGAGATGGGCAGCCATATAAATTGAATAAATGAATGAATGAATAAATAAATTCAGCTGTATTTTTAAAAATTTACTGTTATGTTTTATTTGCAAAGGAAAATAAAGAACAATGATCCGAGTGAGCAGTTAATATGATCTACTCTTGTACTTAGAACAAAATGGGTGCCCTTGGCCCAAATAGGGAATCTGTGGCTACAGTAACTCTGATTACTATCCCAGTTCTGCTCAAAAAAAATCCAGTGAAGGAGAATTTGCCACTTCCTCATGGCCACAAAGCAACCTTCCTAATGTTTAATTAAAACATCTATTTCCAGTATAATTTACTTGAGTGGTAAATCTACATTCGAAACATAGACATCAAGCAAGAGAAAGAAAGCAATACATGTTTACCAGCCAGTAAAGTTAAATTCCTTGTGTGTTCTGTTCTATTCAAAATGCACACTTAACTTGGTTTCCAATATAGGATTCTTGATTACAAAGCTAGGCAAACAACTATATTTCGTGAAACTAAGATCTGAAAAATTTATCTACATGGACACAGAAATTGAATACTACATTTGACTAACTCTACTATAAGTTGTTATATAAGATATTTAGCAGCAGAATATTAAATAGTTCATTTTGGTAAGTTAACCAATAGCCATATTTTGTGGCTCTTAAAACCCCTTATTAATTCATACAAGTGCATTTATTTCTCTCATTTAGCTTGTTGCCTCTTTGCTTTGAATTAACTGCACCTTAGGATTGGTTATATTGAATTAATTAATAGCTTGCTCAGTGATACACCAATTAAGATATGATGTTCCTAGATTTGCTTCCACATTCCAGAAAATGTATACAAGAGAGCCATGCTTTGCAGAAATCCTTGTAATGAAAAGTACTTGTAATCATTCGTAAGATTCTTAGCAGAAGTATGTGAAGATAATGTAGAATATATATTTAGCATAGTGCTATTATAATATTAAAGGCAAGAAAATAAGCAGAAAGATAATATATTTATTTTATTTCAAGTTGCTTAACTTATCAATCATGGTCACTGAGTTTGGAAACCTCAGTCTTCCAGGTAATTGACTTTGGGGACCATGTTTCCCTCAGCACATGGTTAGCTGGGTGGGTTATAAGAAGCAGGATGGTAGAATATCAACATGTAGTGACTTGATTTATTGGACTAATAGAGAGGAAGGGGTGTCTGTTAAAACTCAATTACCATTAAATGACAAATAGGATTTCCAAGCCTCAAAAAATACTTGTTTATGAGAAAATGCACCTCAGTGACTCTTTAAGATATTTTTAGAGATTACGGAACAAAGTAAATATATTGTACAACTTATGTACCAAATTTATTTCTCTTATTTTGACCTATTTTAAAGAGAAAAAATACATAATGTAAACAAGTAAATTCTCATTTTTAAGGGGAAGTGGTGAACACTGCCTGGACTGATCCACCAAACCACAGACTTTGTCAGCCAGTGTAATTTATATTTTGGCTTGAATCACTCAGATAATTCACTTTCCTAATTGATGCCTTGTCCGACAACAAATCTTATGAATACACACTGTCACTACATGTGTGATGATGCTGTTGACAAATAGGGACATTATTTTATTACATTAAATCTTACTTCAAACTAAGAGTTTTCTACCTCATTTGTCAATAAAAAAATGTATAGGCTCCTACTGTTCTGACTGCAGTATTGATCCAGCTCCTAACCTGCAACTAATATGATCATTAATCTGCAAATGACCATGATTTTAAAATATTTCTGACAAATCACGATAGGCCTCATTCAGAGTTGTTCATCATTATCACATAAACAACCACCCACTTATAGATGAAACTAAATGGATTTGCTGTAAAGTAGCATCAAATCAGTGAATCAACCAAGTTCCCCAAAAGGCGTCTAACCATCCCAATAAACTAATATTTTCCATGTAGATTGTGATAAATGATAAAAGACTAAAATGCACTAGAGAATACGCCTTAGTTATCTCTTTGCGTTTTTTACAGCAGTACAATAAAGGTAACATAATATTGTTGGAAATGAATCTGCATAATATGGCCAGGTAGCATTGAGGAAGTATTATGTGATGCTAAAAATAAAAATATATAATGGCCCTGCTCCCATTCAACATTGTGGTTGTTTATGATATATGCTGGCTTCATGTAGAACTCAGAATCCTGTAATAATGCTACTGTGCAGGTTATTGCTACTAAATAATATAATTGCACAGCTGCAGCCTGGAATCCCACGCTACAGAAATGGAGATAGCAATGTATTTATGCTCTGTTTAACTGTTCTCAATAAACCAATCCCCTGTGACAGGAATCCTAAAGATAATAATTCATGTCTCAGCCTGTTGTCCATTATCCAGAAGCTACCTGTTCCTTCCTTGTACAGATTTCACCTTAAGAGTTGTACTTTTCCAATAAACCCCAGTTTGAGGGCTGCTTCCTCCCCTGTGCATTCCTTTTTAGCCAACTCCTCCTAGCTGAATAGAACTGTGATATTTTAAACGAGAAGTTTTTGGCTATCATGTAAGTCTTACAGCAGTAGCACCATCTCCTCAAAGGGTTGCAATGCGCTATCAAGGTCCAAACTGATCACAATCATTCTTCTCCCATTTTGAAACTGCTGGACTGTTGCATGCCTTTCCCTCCTCACAGCTGGGACCCTGTTTCTTTGGACTTTTCTTTTACTGATCAATTACAAGTCAAGGGACTGAGTATGATTTTGGTAGTATCTGACCCGTTTTCTAATACTGCTCATTTCATTCCCTGTCACAGATTTCCAATTGTTACTCAGACTGCTTGCTGTTTATTCAAGAAGTTTTCGAAAACCCTTAGAACATCAGCTTGCCCAATCATTTCACTTCTGACAGAGGCACACAATTCATAGCCCATTTTTGAAAGGTCTATTTCCACTACTAAATGATAAATTGTCTCTAAATTTGCTGATTACTTGATTTTATGGGATCCTCTAAAATACTGAGCAAGCTATAATTATTTTAAATAAAATAAATAAACAAGCTTGAGCCACCATTACAGCAGTATTAAGTTTTAAGCATTAAGCAAACCATGAGCTTTCTAAGGTTTCAAAACATACCACATAAATATATTTCCAATAGTTCTATGGGACAGGCCAGTATGTTCCCTTTGCCACAAACAAGGCTGGAGGATGGCTAACTAAACATACCAGCTGTCCAAAGGTATAAATTTAAAGCAATTTTATAGAATGGTTCTGATTTGTAAGCATATACATGCAGGCACTAATGATGCAAAATCAGACATCAAGGAATTGAACATTTGATGAAGGAAAACAGCAACCTGTGTTATGCACTGTGGCTGTACATGGCAACCCCAAAAGTAGTTTTAACTGTCTGTAAACTATCTACCTGGGCAAATATTTCAAACACTGAGTGCTACAGCTAGAAAGCATTGGCTTGAATAACCATATTACTCACTTTTTGATTGTAGAGGCGCTTTCAGCTCAGCTTCAGAAGATGCTTATGCAGAAGCTCATATAGCAATGGATGATCCTTTAGTTATCCTTGTTGCAGTTTTGATTGGGGTTGGGGTTAAGGGTCAAAGACAGCATATTACACAGTGTTACCTTAAACTGGGGATTACAGCATCGTCCTCCACATATGATTTCATTAATGCTGCATTCCAAGAGCAGACAAGCTCTTTCACTTTGATGTTTTGCCAGTTGCTTTGCCTCAGTGCAGTGATGCTGAGATTTACGCAACAGTTCATATCCTAAGATAATGCCATTTGGTTGTCCTGGTGATGCCCAGTTAATCTGAAGTGACCTGAAGCAGCAAAACCATTAACACATAATTCAATTCATACCATCTGTAATTTACTTCAGCTTCTGCTAACACTCAAATCCTTACAGGTGTCCTTTTTAACTTTGTTGCAATGGGATGGAGCTTCAAATGGGCCTGATTTTTTTTTTAAAGGGGCTCTTCTGGGGAAAGATCATTATACAACACTTCAATTATGATTCATTCTTTGGCAGAAAGATAGAGTTGAAGACTCTGATATATAATTGGCCCTGACATATAATAGAAAACTAGTGCTAAACTTTAATTTAAAATAGAGTCACAGCCTCACTCTAATACCTCTCCTCAGTTGCTTTCAGCTTCTACAAACAATATTTTTACATTAATAAATTCAACATAATGCAACACATTATACATATACTTGACAGAAACAAAACACTGCATCCCCTCTAAAAATCTGTGCTGGCTGCTCAAGACACAGCTGCACTTGTAGATGCTTCTGTTGAGGCTTTTGCAAAAAGCAGCTTGTGGTGATCTTGTCGTCCTCACAATCTTCTTCTTTCAGTGAAGGCACTGGTGACTTGAGACCATGCTTGCAGGAGCTTTAGGGCAATTATCTTGCGATTTCAGCTTCTTTGGGGAAAGCACTGGAAGGACTTTCAGCTGCACAAGCTGGTCATCTGCAAGTAAGATCTCAATGATCTCAGCCATCTCACATTTTCCCACTTCAGGAAAAATATTGAGCACTAGACATAGTGCTGGTGTTCTGGGCACATCCAAGCACTTTCTTGATGAAATTGACCATCCTATATCTGCTGGGCAACCAAGTCAGAACTATGGTAGCAGAAATTTCTAAAATATCTGCAGGTATGTAAGGACTGTAAACCATGGAAATTTCGATCATGGGAAGTAGTAGGTGATGAACATGCTTGTAGCCATATTCAACCCAATCAAATTTAGATGCACTTAGGAATTAATAGATAATAGCGCAAACTCTTCCAAAGATGCAAAATGGCTCTGGGCTACCTTGCCTTGAAGTTTAACAATTATTTGAAAACTCACCAAGTTTTGTTTGTCTTGGAGATACAACCTTTTTTAATTAAGAAAGAAATTTACTGGGGAATTTAAAAAGTGCAAAGTTGGACCAAAATTCTAGGACCATAAGATTTGGAAAGTCACAGGAGTTTGAAATAAGTAGCACAAGCTATAGAAGATTGGAAACTTTTCATATCTTGTTACTGATATACTTACACATTTAAAAAAAAAATCAACACCTTCTTCTACCTGTTTCTATTTCCTCAATCAATACTTTCTTCTACCTGTTTGTATTTCCTCCCTTTCCTTTATGGACTTCCTCTCAGCTTGGGAAAGAATAATTTAATTGAGGAAGGGACACAAAAAGAGCAATACATCACACAAATCTATGGGAGACATCAAATCTGATTGACCAGCACTGAATTTTAATTGTCTTTTTCTTCCTAGCGTTTTTCCTGCAGGTGCAGGATTTGCTTTTTTTCTGGATCAGCCAAATGTTGATCCATTGGTTGAGACAGGAATTGACCGACCGGCTTGTCACCCAAGCCTGACATAGGGGGCTGAGAGAGTGTGACTGGCCCAGAGTCACCCAGCTGGCTTTCATGCCTAAGGTGGGATTAGAACTCATGGTCTCCTGGTTTCTAGCCTGGTGCCTTAACCACTAGACCAAACTAGCTCACAGTCACTGTATTTTAAATGTTCTGAAATATATCTTCTAAATTTCAAGATTCAGTGTAAAGATTTGAACATTCATCCAGTTCTATATCTTCAAAACATGCATTAAATATATTCCTTAAAAGATGCCTGAGTAGAAGTGTAAATAATTAAATAGTTCCTTCCTTATAATATCATACTGCAGATATTTCATGGGAGAACTGTATATTATGGTAATGATACAGAATGCAGTTAACCTCTGAATTTACTCTAAACACATGGAAAGTCATGAATTAGACTGTACCATCACACAAGGGGAGAGGAGGTTTAAATCTTTTCATGTACAGATCTTTGTTCACAAAAACTCTGCCCCACTCTTTTCCTTCATTTTCTTAAAGCCTTCTTTGTTGCCAATAGCAGAAGGAAGATGATTTTAGAAACGAAAAAGCTGAGGTAGAAAGGTTTAACATCTCCTCCCTTGTACATATCCTGAGTGCCCTCTGGGTAAAAATACAGAATGAAAATGGAAACAAGAACGACAATAATAGGATCTCATGCAATTACTCAAGGTCAGACTTCTATCTAGTTCCCTTCAGATGTCTGGCACCACAATTGGCAGAATTTCCATCCAGAATGGGAAGGGAGCTTTAGGATAAATACTAAAAACAAGAGAATCCCACAACCTTGTTGCTAGAAGACCATCTAATTTCATTAATAAGTGGAGCTACAATCTGTCCACAATAAATCCATAAAGGCCAGACTTCAACATTACAATGTGGACTTTGATCAGCAAAAGATGACTTTCTTTAAGTTCCATTTGCCCATTTAAGATTTAAGTAAATCCTTATATCTTTCCTGCTGTAAGGGGAACTTAAGATCACCTAACTTTGGATGGATCATTTTAGAAAGTAATATAACCCAATTACATAGTAGCTGTCAGAATTCTTTGTGACACTGTAAATTAGCATTCATTTAAAGTTAGAGAGTTATGTTCAGAAAACAGCAGCTGAGATAAACTCTGGCATCTCACAGAATAAAAATAACACAGTGATCTATTATTTCACTACCTTGAGGTATAAACAGAGGAACACATAACAATAACAATCTGTAGAGGAAGAATTAATGTCAACTGTGAAGGGATAACTTCACAGGTTACTTGTAGAGTCACGTTATTTTTCTGAAGTCTTCATCTGACTTACTGAATTAATGCCACAGTCTGTAGAAGTCTATTTTATATTCACTGCATATTCAACTCAAAGAAAAAAAAAACCCTTACATATCAATGAGTTACTGACAAACATATAAAAAGAAAGAACAAAAGAGTGAAAGAGAGAGAAGAAAGGAAAGAACAAAGAAAGGGATAGTAAACTTCAAAAATGAACCCAAGATTTGAAATACATCTCAATGTATATTATTTTGCAACTAAATAAATCAGTGGTAAATGACAAGTATTTTTCTATCATGTTCTTTGACATTTTGTGCAACATACTGATTTTGTTAAAATGTCTTTGCACACTATGGAATTAAGATGAAATCAAACAATCCTCGAAAGCAGTCATAATTGAATTCAGTCACGCTGTTCAGCAATATGTGACTATACTGTATATCTCTAAAGCCAATGTTTATATTCACATCTCATGCTAAGCCATGGTTTAATTAACTAACCATGATTGATTTTGTGTGTGTGCACGCATGTGCACCTTGAAGTCAGTCTTGACTCCTGGTGACTGCCTGGAGAAGTCTATGCAATTTTCTTGGCAACATTTTTGGAAGTAAATTTGTCCCGCCTTCTTCCTATGGTTGGGAGAGAGTAACCAGCCCAGAGTTACTCAACTGGTTTCATGCTTAAAGCAGGATTAGAATTTATGGTCTCCCAGTTTCTAGCCTGTTGCTTTTAGCCACCAAACTGGCTAGCTTCAAATGACATGCTAAGCCACAAATCACAATTAACAAACCAAAATGGCTTAGTGTATTCTATGAACTGAACCTATTTTTTATCTGAACAAGTTATACAAATATGGCTCCATGTAAGGGCATCTTGGCTCAGAGTAACACACTTTTTACAAGAGAATAGCCTCTGCATGTATAACTGAGTCCTAAACTTGATAATGCATGTTATCTGCAGTGTCTTGGCTCACGTGGAAGCCAATATGCATAGAGTCATTTGTAGAAAATCGTTCTCATGGAGACAACTGAATATCTGGAAGAAACTAATATTATTTGAGTGACATTTGGAGGCGAGGTTTTATCCAGAGCATTCATGTGCTGAACTACTCTGAACTTCAGCACCTTTGAATGGAAGTATAGTATATGAAGCATATGATAAACTAATAGGATTGCAACTGTTGATCTAATCGCGCTGCTTCTCTATCTCAATCCTGGTACTCAGTGTTTGAGGAAGCACCCAAATGACACCAAAATCCAGAATATTTAATCCATGAAATTAGAGGAGGAGGATTGCATCTGGAACTTCTCAGGGTTACAGTACCATTTAGGCAATAGATTAAATGGGCACAAAGCAAATAAGAACTTGAACAACAGGCCCAGGACAAAGCCACCATACTGTTTACTTGGATAAGGAAACAGACCCTGAATTGTAATGGTGGCAATTCTATAGAACTTGTGTTAATGTTAGTCTCAATGGCTTATGAGTCCCACATTGATATATTTACATAACCAGAGAGCATCAATTCCATAATTGACTTGGATCATCCACATATGCATATAGTTGACAAGGTTTAATAAATCAGGACAGAATGCTGTTATAGGTCCTATCAACTTCTTTGACTGCTCTGGAGAAATGAGTATCTTAACTCTCAGTATGCTGCCCTGGAATGTGTGATCTTTTAAAGACTCAGCAGGAGGATGGAGCAGTTAGAGAACAGATCAGAACTTTGTATGCTTGCTTTAAATAAAATTAGTGTGAACAAATGGTTTCTATGTATATGTACACATCAGCTGCATGCTATACAGTTAACATGGATGTGTTTTGACACTTGGATTTACAAAAAACAAACAAACTACTTTCCTCTACTTCCTAGTTCATTCAAGACAACAGTATATCATTTAATAACAGCTGAATGTCCTAAGTACTTGTATGATTTTCTGAATGATGCATTTACCTAAAAGGAAGACAACCCTGGATTTAAGATGATCTCCATAAAGGAAGATTAGATAGAATTATAATAAACTGAAACAAAAATCCAGTATATTGCCCAGCTTCCTTACCTTGGCAATCGGACATCCAGAATCCCACTGAAACCAATCCTGAAGATCATTTCCTCCACCCCCCAATGCACGTGACATACCAATATATGCATTTGTGTCTGTATACACAT